ACTGTTTCTGAGCATCATATTTACGTCCTGAAATCTTGTGCAGGTAATTCACAGACTTTATCCGTATGGGTTCCAGTTTCTCAATCTCCGGCGCCTTCACTTGGGGACCTGCCCCCCTCAAAGCAGGAAGGTAGGCTGGTAGATATTGGGTCTTGGTGAGCATCGTGCCTCCCTGCAACAGAATTGTTGATGTCACGGCGCGGAAAACTTTCCTTCTTCTCCGTCCGAATTTGCAATAAAAATTGACGTCTTTCTACATCTCGATCCACGAGCATCGCCGCGTGTCGCCTCCTCCTATTTCTGTTGTTTCCAGTCCAAGCCTGTCGTCTCGTCACTCCACCAGAGTCGGCCTACCTAGCCTATCGAGATGGAGGCAAACCTGAATTGCAACGTCAAACAGTGTGGTGTCCAGCTTTCCAACCAGGCAGTGGTCACTGCATGCAGGTTCGTTCTCAGTCTCAAACATGCCAGCTTTGGGTCCTGAACGTTGTCCCCCCCAGCCATGCCCTCTGCTTGGACTGCGCCAGTCGCCATGGCTTTACCGGCTCTGGCCCATATACCTGCCCTGTCTGTCGTCAACCGCTCATCGGAGGCGAGATATACAAACAGGTTCTTCAGCCTTCAGACGAGTGGAAATCCGTGGCTCTGTGCGGTCTGAATCCCATCGTCATCATGGAATGTGCAGGCAGGGCTGTCAGCTTCTGGTCCTACCAGATGACGAACCAAATGTACTCGGCCCTCAGCTCCCAGACTATCGATGCCTCTGCTGACTTGACCTAGAATGTTTCAGCTCCAGAAAAACAAAGACTTGCAGCAACAATGTTTGAACCTCGAGGGCGAGGTAGAGAACATGTGGAACCAGGGCAACGCCAGGATCAGCTCCTTGACAGCCAAGATGAAAGGTACGCAAAACACCTTCAGGATGTGTCTTTGAGCCCTCCGATGCTGACGTGCCCTAGACATGGAGCTGCGGGAGCAAGGCCTGATACGAAAATGCGAAGACTTGCGCCTCAATCTAGCAGACAAGGCCTCTGAACTCTGCCGGTCACAAGAACTGTACAACAAGCTCAAGCAGCGAGTCTTGCTTGAGCAGTCACCCATCTCTGCCGGTGTCCGGCCTTCCAAGCCCGCTCCTACAGCGCCCTCGCCCAACTTCGGCAACAAGCGCACCCACTCCCTGGCCTACGCACACCAAACCAATGCGCCAGTCATTGGAATGCCTGGCAGTACCCAAGTCACTGACTACTTTCCAGAGAGCCCCAGCTATTCCAAAATCCAGGCCAACCAGGCCAATCTCGGAGTGGTGGGATGGAACAATCCAGCACATGGTACCTGGACAACGATACAAACTGAAGAGGCACGATGAGCTGACGGGTCCTCATAGTTGACAGGAACAAGACTCCATTCAACCAAGCGCACATTGCCAATACCGGTCCTTCGGGCTTGATGCCAAGTTTGAGAAACGGTACTGGGCCCATTGGAGCAGTGCCAGTTTCAGGTCGATACCATTCACAGCACAACAGTCGCCAGGGCCAGCCCGGCGAGGCCTCGCGCAGATTTGGTGGGCCTGGTGTGTCTGACGACAGGAGGGCCACTCGAATCCCAGGTGACGAGGGTGGTTTTGCTTCCGCTGGAGGGAGAGCACGATGTTTGTCGTCCGAACTTTTCAATATTGTGAGACGGTGTTGACAATATTAGCGTTTCAACCCCCGATCCCCCACCACAACGAAGCTGCGCAACGAACAAGCGCCCGAGCTTTCGACCAGCTGCCAAATGTCATTCGTAGATGATGGCTGCTACATGGAGAGTCACTCCCTTTGATGTGATCTGCGCATCAACACATCGCGGAGATCCTACGGGTGTCCTGGGTAGCGGGATCTCCCGCCAAATCTATCTTTATCCTTTCTTCGGTGGCTATGCTTTCTCGCGATGTTTGTAGGTTTCAATTCTCAAAATATTCGCAGCCGACGATATCTAATGGACATCGCGAAGAACAAATCCGGTGTGGGGGGCTATCTGGAATATGCTTTCCAACTCCTCAGCCAGACGTCAGAGGGGCTCAGGGTGTTTTCTTCCCAACTGCGTGCCCAGCCCGAAACAAGAACAAGGTGCAGCACAAGGTGCGGTGAAGACTCGGTTGTCAGTGCCGCGCACGAAGCTGAGTGCCGGTGGAACTTTGTTTTCTGAAGGTTTACTGTGATGGGAATGGGGAATGCGATTGGCTCCTCAAACTTCTGCTCCGTGAGCATGAAAAAAGTCGACGGCTACAACGGCAGGGCTGGGGGTTCGTGGTGTTTCAGGGGCTCACCACCAGCCAATGATCAGCACCTCAAAGTCCGACCGCCAAACACAAGGTTTGGGGAGACCCGACCGACCGCACAGACAAAACCTAGAATTTATTTACGGATATTCTGCGACTACAAGATTTGGAGGCAAGCTATTTGGGAGACGAAACCGGGCGGTTGAACGTGGCAGGTCTTTGGTATAGTGGTCACCAGAAGGGGGGTTGTCCACCACCCTCCAAATAACAACCTTGCTCAACCTCTTCAGCGCCACTGGACGTCATGTTGGTCGGTATACTTATGCAGGACAAGAGCTTCAAAGTCTCCCGCTGTCTAACCAGCGTCCAAGCGGAGATCCCCGAGCTGCTGCATGGTACGCTATCTGCGGCCCACCGATCTTGGAGATCTTGGTCCCCCACTGCCCCCGAAACAGCTCAAGAGAGACCTCCACGAAGGGGACCTTTCCCGGTTGAGCCTCTTGACGCACGGAGCTAAACTCAGAATGTCAACGGCTCAGAAACAGGGGGGAGCAGCCCGGTCCCGGATCACCACCTCTCCGAGTCGATATCCTCTCTGTCGTGAGGCTCTCACGTCCCGCCAAGACCGTGACAACGTCAAACCAGCTTTCTCGTGGAGGTAGTTGCGTTTATGCCTCAGCCAGGCGCCCTATCACATCCAGATGATCTTCCAGATCACGGACATCGTGACCGGGGCAAGGACCTCGGCGAGTTAACCGATGCTTGTGGTCTCACGAGCTCTGTCCGGGGGGCCGCTCAGCTTGGGTAGGTATGGTTCGCCCCCAGATCTTCGTGATAGACCCGCGGTGGACTGACTTAGAGCTGGCCGGGTGACGGCCCTGTGCGGTCGATCCTGATTCCATCCATGCGTTTGGACCCTTCCTGGGGGTTGATGTTGAGAGGCCAATCGCAAGATCCTGAATTGTTTCGCCAGACGGTTTGCCACTTGCGCGACGCCGTGCTGGGACACAGTGAGGCTGACATCGAGTGGAGAATGCCGAAGATGGGTGTTTCCATGACACCTTGACGGTAGGGCTTTGTGGTGACGGCAGGGGAGGGGGCTGGTGTTTCTCCTTTTTTGCGTTTCTGCTGAAGTTGACTGAAACTAGAGGACTTAGTGAGAGATGGGAATACGTCGAAGAGGAGGAGCTCATGGTTGACCCCAGTCCAGCCTTGGCTTCACGACAGAGAATATATAATGGGGGACCGTCGACCGTCAAGTCAAACCTATCTTCTCATCATCACACTCATCCAGCATCCAGGAGACAGCAGTTCGAGCCCTTTTCTCTTTGCTCTTTTCACTTCTCTCCTGCCGGACAGGTCTTTGATTCCCTTTCCCACTTCCACCAAACACCCCTTTTCTCCAACACCCAACCCATCACCACCACCACCACCACCGCCACCATGTCTTCCCTCCACACCATCTTCACCCTCACCCTCCTCGCCACCGCCCGCCTCGCGGCCGGCCACGGCGCCATCATCGCCGCCACCGGCAACGCCGGCGGCAACGGCATGGCCCTCGGCGTCGACACGTCGACGCCCCGCGACGGCACCCGGCGCAACCCCTTCCAGCAGGACGCCACGCGCTTCCGCGGCGCCTCGGCCGCCTCGTTCGGCGAGACCCTCGGCGGCGGCGACAACGCCCTCGAGGCCGGCACCGCCGCCATCATGGCCGAGACGGGCGACCAGCTCCCGCAGGTCACCCCCGGCGGCGAGGTGCAGATGACGCTGCACCAGGTCAACGCCGACGGCGGCGGCCCCTACACCTGCCGCATCAGCGCCGACGGCACCGGCCAGCGCTGGACGCCCATCCCCGTCACGACCACGCCCCCCGGCCGCAACTCGCGCAATCGCGTAAGTCCATCCCCCCTCCCTTCTTTGAGCGAGAATGGTTTGCTGACAGCGACAACAGCAAGGCGAGGCGTCCGACTTCCCTCTTGTCGCTTCCATCCCCGCCGGCCAGAACTGCACCGGCACCGTGGCCGGGCAGGACAACGTGTGCCTGGTTCGCTGCGAGAACGACGCGCGCGCCGGCCCCTTCGGCGGTGTCGTCCCCGTGCAGATGGCGGGCGCGGCGACGCCGGCGCAGGCGAGACGCGCGCTGGCGCTCAAGGTCCGCGAGACGCAGCTGATGGTGGAGCGCATGCGCAAGAGGCAGAGCACCTTTGTCGACGAGGACGAGGAGGACGAGGAGGAGGAGTACTAAGTGGTGTGGGTTGTCTAGGGGATGATGGATGGCGGTGTTGAGGTGGGGTGGTGATGAAAAAGGGGTTGGCGGGGGGGGCATACATGGGGATCATTCATTCATTTTGGGGAGTTTTTGTTCTTCTTTCCTCTGGGTCGGCGGCATTTCCTTACAACCTCTTCTCACCCATTTACGCTCCTTTCCAGTGGCTGAGCTGGTCTGGGTCGCTTTTTTTCTGGGTTCTGTATATTTTACATACACTTTCGACTAGACAGTCAATTGCATAGTAGAGTGAAATGAAGCATTGGGTTTCTTTACCCTGTGTGTCGATGCAAGTGTCAGACAAACATGATGTTTTGCTCTGCTCAGCGGGAGCTTCAACCACAGCAGCAATTACCAATTGGAAATTTGCCGCGGAGCAACAAAGCATCCTGACCTGAGGTCCCTGTAAATACATTTGAAGTTGGGATGTGTCCTGGGCAAAAAGAAGAAGGACAATTCGATTGGCAAAATATTAGGTCGTGCCAGGGTTCGAACCTGGGTTATCAGAAGTAAGGTTCTGCTGTAAAGGCGAGGCCTCAAAATCTGAAGTGATAACCACTACACTACACAACCTTGAGTATTTTTTGGCTTAAAGCTGTTCTTGACCCACTGCCAACAGGGCTTGTGCTGAGGTAAAATTCGCTTTGCAGGGTTAGGGTTACATTTCCAAGGGGTCAGCAAGCAACTTGACAGACATAAAGGAAAAGGCATTGTTAAACTGAACTTAAATGGCTGTTCTGTACTGTAGGTAAGCCTTGTTCCGATTGTTCTAGGAATTGATTTGAGCTGATGGGTGAAAAGTATCGGACTCTCAGTTCTTGGACAGGCTCTTGATATTGTATTCAAGCTCTGTAGCTCTCTTGCGATGGAGACATTTCCATGAAAGCATGTAGTATTCAGGACCGCAAATATCTCTGTATCTCTGATACCGTCCAGGGAGACCCCGTCTGCAGAAAGTCCCCATCACGACTTGCGATGCAACACGCCAGCGCCGGCCTAAGCCCATGTCAGCAAGCCCGTTCATCTTCAGATACAAGCCAAGTACGTACCTGATGGCTGGGAAAGACCAGCGTATCAGCCACGACAACATTCTCCCTCCTGGTGGCAACAAACACCACCACCTCGGCAATGTCCTCAGGCGTCAAGGGGTCAACACCGCTGTCTCCACGTCAGTGATCCCACTCTCCCTCCAACACACAACAGATAAAGAAAGGAGCACCCACGCATAAACAGCATCCGCCTTGCTCTTATCCCCATAGAACCTCACGACCGAGAACTCGGTCTCGACCTGGCCCGGGTCGACCTCCATGACGCGGATGCGCGTGGCGACGAGCTCGCGCCGCAGGGCGTCGGTGAAGGCGCGCACGGCGGCCTTGGAGGCGCAGTAGATGCTGCCTCCGGCGTAGGGCTCGCGGCCGGCGATGGACCCGATGTTGATGATGTCGCCGGCGCCGCCCTCGGAGCCGCGCGCCTTGAAGATGGGCAGGACGGCCTGCGTCATGTTGATGAGGCCCGTGACGTTGGTGTCGAACATGACGGCCATGTCCGCCTCGGCGATCTCGGGGGCTTTGGCCACTGCGTGTGTGTGTCAGCAATAACACCCCTTCGTCTAGACCAATCTCGGAGAGATGCTGGTGATGGGTTTACATACTTCCCTTGACCAAGCCACTGCAATCCAAATCCCGTTAGCAAACAATCCCCCTTTCCCAACAGGAACCCCAATGCCGGAAATAAGAAACTCACGCATTATTAACCAAAACCCCGATATCCCTCCATTCCTCCGGCAACCCCCCCACGAACCCCCTCACCTCATCCGGCTTGCTCACGTCCAGCTTCACCGGCAGCACCTTGACGCCCTCGCCGACCTCGTCGCGGATCTGCGCCGCCAGCTTGCGCAGCTCGTCCTCGCGGCGCGCCGTCAGGATCAGGCGCAGGTCGTGCGGCTGGGTGCGGGCGAACTCGAGGGCGCAGGAGCGGCCGATACCGGACGAGGCGCCGGTGATGACGACCGTCTTGCCCTGGAGGCGCTTGGCGGCGGCGGCGGAAGACATGGTTCTTGCTGCTGTTGTTGCTGTAGTCCTGGTGAGGAGCGACGGGATGGTGGTGGTGAGAGAGGAGGAGACGAGTCGGGATGTCACTTGGTAAATGCGGCGAAGGGTGGGCATTCCTTCTTTTTGGGGACTTTTTTCTCCTTTAGGTTCTCCTCCCGACACGGTTGGCGATGTGTACCTGGGTATCAAATCGCACGAAAGAGCGAAGCTGACGCCATACCTCGGCGATCCACTACCGGCCGGGTGTGGATGTCGCGAACTGTGGGGGTTCTTCGGAGAACAATGGTTGGGGAACTGCTGCCCCGCGCGGTGATTCCATCCCCCGCAAAGTACTCCACTCTCCACCCCTTTGCGCCTCTCGACAGTTCACCATGATATCTCGCCGTGTAAGACGGGGGAACTGGTGGAGAAAATACCCATCATAGGTACTGTCCTGGAATCTACACATGTCCGAAGACTGCTAGGTACCTATGTACGGAGAACCTAGTACGACCACAATGTTTCCTGCGACCTCCGGGGTGGTAGGTCTCTCTGACAAAACATGCCAGCCTCTTCAAGTACCAACCCCGCCGAACTCCAAGCAAATGTCCCTTCAGAACCAAGCCCTGACGCCTCGTGTGCTATGCATACCCGGATCCCAAAACTGGACTCAAACCGCAACCGCTCCCATGGCATCTCATCTGCCTTCCTGCTGCATCCTCGCCGCTGCCTCGTGTTGGCGCTTCTGCATCTCCACAAACGACACCCGCTGCTCAGGTTTCCTGTACATGCCAACAGCACACAGCGTTGCCGCGGCCAGCACGCCGCAACACACCGCCATGTCGGTCCGCAGGGCAGCAGTATATGCATCCCTTACCGCCTGCTTTTGTCCGGCTTGGTAGACGACGTGCTCGGGAGATAGCATAGCCGCGGCATGGTCCTTTGCCTGGACGCCCAGGATGGCCGACGAAGCTGCGATGCCTAGACTGCCGCCGAGGATGCGCATTTGGGCAATGATGCCATGTGCCGGTGCTACAGAGGGGGTGTTAGCACGATCCGCGCTACCTCGGACCATCTATGGGTAGTAGCTTACCACTCTCCTGCAGGGGGGCCTCCATGGCCGTCAAGCTGCTGCATGTGGCAGACAGACCGAACCCGAACCCAATAAACGTTAGGAACCCCAGGACCTTGGGCTCGAGTGCCTCTCCCGCCCCTGCCGTCATTTCTAGCGCACAGCCGAGGATCATGATAATCCCCGCCGCGGCCAGCGTCTCGGGGATCCAGTTCCTCTTGCTGTTGATGGCACCCGCCACGTAACTCGCCACGGCAGTCCCGCCCAGCATCGGCAGCAGCATGATGCCCGCTTCAAAGGAAGTCTTTCCGTTGACGATCTGGAATCGGACAGGGAAGACGAAGATGGCTAGAAGGTAGGCGAATCCCAGCAGCAGAGTGTTGAGGACGGCCAACGCATAGACCCTGTTGCGCAGGAGCACCATGGGGAACGCCGCGGCCACGTCGTGGGGCCATTTGCGCTCGACAATGGCCTGCCAGACCAAGAGTGCGATGGCGCAGACAATTCCAACGACGAGGGGGGCGATGAAAACGGGGTCGGACCACTGCCCTGTCTTGCTGCTGGAGTTCTGGAACGGGAAGACGATGAGACAAGCGGCTGCCACTCTGTTTTCTCGTTGTTAGCGCGCCTGACCAGAAAGGGACAAGAACAAAACATACAGCAGAAGCGAGCCCAAAAAGTCGACCTCACTCCATTTCCTCCGTCTCATCGGACGGAGGTGCTCCTTGTCCGGCCATGCCAGAAAGAATGCCCCGGCAGAAGCCGCCCCAAGCGGACCGCTGCGCCATCATCATATCAGCAAAGATCTCGCGACGGCAAAGAATGGGGGCAAAACACACTTGATCCAAAACACCCAACGCCAGTTGGCATACTGCGTCAAAGCACCGCCCAGCAAGGGGCCCATGACGCCCGATATGGCGAGTGTGGCGCCAACAAGAAGCCCAATATACTGTTGAGATTTAAGAGACGACACCTCGGGAAGCAAGATCATGGAAAGACTGTACAACCCTGCTCCGGCGTCAGCGACACACAGCTTACACAACCAGCTGAGCAGAACACATACCTGACCCACCAACTCCCTGGAGTGCGCGGAGCACAATGAGCTGGGTCAGGCTCTTGCTCCATCCGCACGCCAGGGAGAAGGCGACAAAGATGGCATACGCCGACAGGTACGCCACTTTGCGGCCGATGACGTCCGAGATGCGGGCAAAGAGCACCGCGCAGCTGAGGTAGGCGAGCGTGTAGGACAGGGGGACCCAGTTGATATTGTCGACCTCTTGAAACTCGACCGCGATGGCGTATAGACTGGTAGCTACGATGGAGGTGTCTAGCAGGGCGAGGAAGAAACCGAGGCTAATACTATTCGGGAGGTCAGTCTCGACGACGGGCCGAACCGGGGCTGGGGCACGTACGCCGCGGCGAGGATGATATATCTGAAGAGGGGAAGGGGTTTTGTCGCGGGGGCGGGTTGAACATCCTCTGCAGACTCGACGAGCGTGTTCTCACTAGGTTCCACGGACGAGCTGCTTGATTTCTCGCGCATGGTGCTGGTGATGGTCTTGTCCATTGTGAACGGAGGTGGCCGAGGGTCGATCCCTCTTGACCTCCGAAAAGATGTAAGGCGGTTCTAGGGTTCCGGGCGTTTGTCGATGGGTGTGGAGGATGAGGGTTGGTTTTTTTTTTGCTTTCAAGCCGTGAGGGCGAGACGAGCCTGATAGCAAACCGACTGCCACTCACCGTTTGAGCCACGGCATGTCCAGGGAAGGAAGCCCTCAGGTCGGGGCAGTTGCGTGAGGGAGGATGTCGCCTCTTGAATGCACTTCAGTCTCAACGGGAAAGAAGCACTCGCATTCGGAAAGCCCACAAAGAAGGCGCTGGGCTAGGATTTCATCAGCACAGTCGGGGGACGGAAGAAGTCGATGCCCGTTGCCCATCCTTTCCAACATGACAGAGGCAAGAAGGATGGGTTAAACGCGCGACGCCCGCTGTGAGGAGTGCCTGCCTACCTGGAAATTAAGACCCCATAACGGACCTAGCGAGTGCCGGCAAGGTGCAATTCATCAGCAGGTTGGGGTCCGGCGTCCAGCGGTACGGAAGGCACAATCCAGGGACTCGGCTCTGTCTTGCCACGGCCGGCCAGGCCTCTCAATCAATCCTCCGATGCTGCCCAGTGTCCAGTGTGCAATGGTCTGTCGGTGTGCGCGTGGCAACCGCAGTACGGAAGTAATAAGCACGAGCTGCACTGCATTCCATGTGGGCGAGAAACGATGGAAGCGAATGCGAAGACGAAGATGCGACCAGTCGCGACGTTGCTGATGGCACGATTCCGTAATCCGGAGGCCGGATCAACCCTTCCAAAATCCTTCCCTCTTCTGGAAGAAACGTCCACAGTTGGGAAGCGCCGACTTTTGATGAAAAGATTAAGCAGGCGACAGGCGACAGGCCAGGGGCGCTGCTGGAAGGGGCAAGAG